TCCCTATGGAGCTCGCACTTTATGTTTTTAATCCGAGCGGGTCATCCTCGAACCTGTCATTGTCGTCACTTTTGGCTCCTGAGGCCTGAATATGAGAAAAGTATCAGGCGCGAACCTCGTTTGTGAGTGCACTGTACGGAAGTCTCAGGCCGGCGCTTGATGTTTTTGATCCGAGCGCGTCATCCTCAACCTTGTAATTGTCGTTACTTTGGGGCTCCTGAGGCCTGAATATGGAGGAGGTATCAGGTGGGGGGTCTCGTCTGTGAGTGAACTGTGAGGAAGTCTCAGGAGGGAGCCCCCTCTTTATGCGTTCTTCGGGGGGCGATTCGCTCGACCCATCAGGTGAGGAGGAAGAGGAGGAACAGGAGGTGAGGACGACCACGGCGGCTGGGCGCAGGGGGAAACCCTTGCGTCCGGGCCGGGGGCGGGAAGCCCTTCTTTGGGCTGGCGTTGGTAACCCATTGTCAGCCGAATCGGGGGCAGGGGGAAACCCTTGTCTCCGGGCTGGCCGTGGCAACCCATCGTCAGCCGAATCGGGCGCAGGCGGGAGCCCCTGCGTCGGGGAGCGGGTGAGAGACTTGCGCCAGGGCGAGAATGATAATGACGCAAAGAAGACAGTAAGGGCGCCTTATTCATCGCGAGGACGGCAGTGAAGGTTATTTCCAGATTAGCCGAAAAGGATTTTCATGTAGGTTCTTTCCGTCTTTTTCGGGTGACGGCAGTTCCGGTTAGTGGAGCGGGGTGGGGGTGGCGCCCCCCAGTACACATCGCTAAACCAGGTCCCATTATGACAACGCCCGAAAAGAAACCCTTGCGTGGGCAAATATTGACCATATCTTTCTGTGCCATATTTCCCCGATCGGAGCTTGCCTCTGTAGGGGTCCTAGCGGATTCATATGATTAAGTTCGGTTTGCCGCCGATTTTCGCCGCACGCCCAGGTGCCCGGGTGCCCGGGGGTGCCCGGGCGTGCCCGGGGGTGCCCGGGGCTTGGGTGCTTGGGTGCCCGGGCGTGCCCAGGGGTGCCTGGGGGTGCCCGGGGGTGCCTTATTGCCCAATAGCCCTATAGCCCTACAACTCTATAGCCCTATAGCTCTATAGCCCTACAGCTCAATAGCCCTATGGCCCCCTAGCCCTAGCCCTATAGCCCTGATTGGGTTTTTTCTCCGGTATCATGACCATATCTTTTTGTGCGATCGCAGCGAAGACCCACTAACAACAACGTGGTATAAGATCTTCCATTTCTGTTGGGTGAACAACGAAATAAGGGATGGCTCGAAGAACATGTTGGCTTTCTTGCAGTCGGATGAGATTTTCACTGTTGGCGAACATGGGTAGCAGTATGACCGGCCATGGAAAGAACATGGTCTATTCATTTGCACGCAGTTGCATAGTTTCCGCATCGGAATGCGTCGGTGCTGGATATGCGACGAGATGGTTGAACAGTCTCATTACATTCGTGCGCACCACCAGCCATTGACAGCCTCTGCAAGATAGACACCGGCCTCAGAGAAAGAGGGCTATCCAGATGGGTAGGGGACGTGGCAGGAGCAAACCCACATACACTCTGCCCACCAGAAAGGGGAGCAAAGCTAAGCAATTCGTCACAGCGTGCTGATCACAGTTTGGAGTCTTACGAAAAGCACAAACGACATTGTTTCAATGATTCGGAAGGATCACGAAGTCAAAGACAAACATGTCTTGTCTCAACACAGCAATGTGCTTCGTCCCTTCGTAAATGGCCGAGAATGCAGACAGCCTTATTCCATTCCGATACGACCTACGAGCCATATTTTCGATTTCTCGACACGCTCAGGAAGATATTCATGTCGTACAATACTTGGAGAACCGAAACCACCAGGGTGTCAGACTTGTGTTGCACAGTGTGGAGGCACACTGACCCGACTGAGATGCCGATGAGATGATCCCCCCTTGTGCGTTAATTTGGCCACACGTGGAAGACAGCGTCGTTGAGCCAGTGAGCGGATGGGGAGTTTGGGACGGAAATTTCGCTACGGACGGGACGGATCTTCGGCCACGTGGTTGGTAAGTGATAGTGTAATGAAGATGGGAAGGATCCAGTTCATCCCTCATGATGATCAGTATCCCGGCATCGAGCTTCCCATCGCAAACTTCAAAGCATTGAAGGCTGGGCCTCATGTGACTTCTGAGGGAGCAAATAACAGGCACGATGATTTGGTGGCCCTTGCACCCAGCTTTTACACGTTCTAAACGGTCCATCGCCAGTGCGCGGAACAACCCGATATTGAGTTAGTATAAGTTCCAGTGGCCCTATATTTCAGGAGTCCGCAAACGATGGAGACGCCGAAGAATTCCTGCACTTCGATTTCCTAAAGACGAAAACGACGTTCGTCATATCGAAGGATCCATAATTGGGTAGATCGTCATCTCGGCACCCACAGAGGTCACCGGGCGTCCTGTCATACAAATGTTCTTCAACGGCGCGATTAACTTGTCGACGGACTGGGCAGCGGCGGCTTCAGTTAAAATGCTGGTACGTGGTGTCGCGAGGGCAGCTTCCAAATTCATGCAGCAGTACATGACGATTACCGCATCCTTCGGACCATATCTTGAAGAAGACGCCACCCGCGTTTTGGCTGACAAATTGTTGGATGTCGTCTGTTGGAAGAATATCACACCCGCACATTTGAAGTATAGACCTCTCCGTGCCATGAATATATACAGGGAAACATGATGGAGGATCTCGTGGTCGGAAAAAGCCATTGTGTTTTCAACGGACGTTGGCCGCGCGTGCTACCCAGGAAGGAATATGGGAGGCAATTCGCATAGGAGAAAGGGTGGACAATTGCCCGCAGCAGATGCGCAGACATTTGCGTGATCCTGAGGAAATGGTAGGGGATGTAGTCAGGAGTTCCAGCCTGCTTGAAGCATTCATCGCGGACTTGGCTCAGCCTCAGGTCTAAGATGCGCGCAGATCCCTGGCCAATGCAGGCCGCAATGGTTGAGCTTGTCGGCAAGGACAAACGGCGCGAGCCTTCGCAAGACAAATGCGCCGAGGTGTGGGAACGCATGGGGGCCGTCCATGGACGCCGGATCGCTGCGATTGCGATCGGAATCTTGCGTATCGTTCGAAAGAAGGGGTTTCCCGATATCGGCCCAGCCTAGATTGAGACAGTTCCCGGTGACACAATGAGAGGCGCTCAAGCCACTGGAGCTACGATTCAGCAGTCACGTGAATATGACCAGACTGTCCATCCATATGAAACTGCAGCTGACCCAGTCGGCGATGTTCCCGCACCTCACGTGTCAGCGTCCATGGATGTTGAGGGAGAGGGTATTGGAGGTGCCGATTTAGTCGGTGCCCCTGCTGCTCCTCCACCCCCCCTTGCGCGACGGCCCATGGCCGCCGCTGCGCTGTCCACTATGGTTTCCGATGGCCGCCCCCTCCGCGACGGGGCGTCTGGGCTGCCCCCGCGGCGCGAGGCGCCGCCAGGGCGGCCTGCGAGGCCGAGGGGCAGGGTCTGCGACGCTGGATCGACACATGATTCGTCATCGCGCACTGGAACGAGGCCACGGGCGCCTTGGGTACATCGCGAACAAGAAACAACAGGGCGCTCAACCCAGAGTCATAACCACTGGGAATCGTACCAGGACCACTGGGACATCACGCGAGTATATGATGATCGTTGGTCTGGCGGTACACGGGTATACAAAACCATGTCAAAAAAAGAGGGGTTGCGGTGGTCTGCAACGGATTACTCTGAGACGTACGGCTATGGTGGTCGCTGTTCTGCGAGGCGAAGAGAAATGCTGGCGAAAGGCTGAGCCCCTGCAGCACTACATGCTGACGCACATGTACGGACAACGTGTCCGTACATGTGCGTTCACTTTTGAAGATGGGGGGTTTATGTGTGGGCTGCATCAGTCCGGTCCGGTTTACCTTCAAGGGGATATCCAAAGGTTGTATTGGCACTCGTTTTTCTGTGTGTTTCAAGCGTTTTGGGCGCCGTGCACAGGGGGGTGCCGAAGTGCTTCGGAGGGTGCCAGGAAGCCGTGGACCTCCCGACGGTAGGCTAAAAGGCTGAACCTGCACGTCCCGCCGCGGGGGAGGAGTAATAACCCCTTTTCTCTCCCAGCTCGCTCCCTGCCGCCATCTTGCACCCTTCCGCCGCCGCCGCAGCTGTTCTTGGAGGAGATCAAGCATTGTGCGGGCCTTCCGTGCGAGTCAAAGCAGGGGTTGTGATCGTCGTTTCGTCGACGTCCTATAGTTTTTGTTTGTTTGTTTGTTTTGTTGTTTCTCTCTCTCTCTCTCTCTCTCTCTCTCTCTTTCGTTTTCATATATCACTCTCTTCCTCTCTCTCTCTCTCGCTCTCCCTCTCTCTCCCCCCATTCTCCCTTATCCTAACGTTTCAGTTGGGCCGGATATTTAGTACTGGGAGCATGTCTGGTGCTTCGATATCTTAACATCACCACCGTGCTGGACATCGCACTCTTTTGGCGAGTGACTTATGTGACTCAGTCAGGTAAGCAACAGCAGGACTAGGAGGAGGTAGAAGACGACGTGGAGGAGGGGCAGGAGGCTCAGGAGGAGCAAGAGGAGGACGACGACGAGGAGGAAGAGGAGGACGTGGGAGCGGAAATGGGCGACGAGGGAGAAGGTAAGAGGGAGGGAGGGCGGAAGAAAGGAGGAGGCTGACGAGAAAAAACAAGAGGGAGGAAGAGGAGGAGGTCCTTGGAGGTTTCTTGAAGCCCCTTGAGGCACGAAGAATGCCATGACTGCTTGGAAGCCAGATCGACATCCGGCCAAAATCTTTTCCCGAATTCCCGGGTTCCGTCGTGACCAACATGTCCAGTTGCGTCGACGAGATCCCCCAGGAACGCCCGACAACTTCCGAGCCGAAGACGTTGAGGACAGCGTCCGACACCGAGAGGGAGGAGGTCGTTGGAGCCGGGTGCTCGCGGGCTGGCGGCGCGCGCGCACCCCGAGGAGCCTGCGGAGCGCAATTCAGGAGAACCGCGCATGCAGGTGTGGAGAGGGTGGCCTCCTCAGCACCAGGGGTGGGCGGAGGAGGCAGCAGGTCGGGTGTGGCCAGGAGAGCCCCTGGCCCAAGGTGCCCCGGGATTTCCAGGGGAGGCCCCCGCTGCCCCTGAGCACCCCCCACGAGGCCCAGAGGGCCCCAGGAGCTCCAAAATTAAGGGACAAGCTGGGGCACCGTGGGCCAGGGGCACCTTTAGCAACCCCCGAGCAGGGGGGAGGGTCGAGATTTGAGTTTGGAGATTTGTTTTTTATGTCAGCGTCGGCCTCGATGGGAGAGGACGAGGAGAGACTTCACTTATGACTGAGTCCCAGTATTAAGAATGTGCGTTTGCAAGTGCAGTTGCCTTTGTCTGATGATCCTGTTGACCCCAGTGTGTGTCCACGGAACGCTAGCACAACAACCGTTTCAATCGTCTTCTTTTTTGCGTGGTCAGTGTTCTTCTTTCGTCAGGTGTCTAAACGCACATGCATACGCATATGTATACATGTACATGCATCGTTGTGGTTATGCCTATAATGGCACGGTGTGCTCTACCCTCGGCTGTGTGCGCAGACGGGGGATGGATTGAGGATGATCTATGAATGGACAATGGTGATTCAGATGTATTGTTACGACGTTGATGATGTTGCTGATGCTGATGCTGATGATGATGATCATGAGGATGCTGATGATGATGATGAGGAGGAGGAGGAGGATGGGGATGTGGACGAGGGTGATGGTGAGGGTGAGGATGAGGATAAGGATGTGATGATTGTGATGCTGTTGATGATGATGATGATGATGCTGATGATGCTGATGATGATGATGATTTACGGGGATGATGATGGCAAGGATGTTGCTGATGCTGTTGTTGATGATCATGCTCATGATCATAATGATGATCGTAGTAGTGACAATAGTGATGACGATAATGATGATGTTGCTGACGGTGATGATGATGATGATGCTGATGATGATGATGATGATGATGATGAACATGATGAACATGATGAACATGATGAACATGATGAACATGATGAACATGATGAACATGATGAACATGATGATGACGATTCTCAGGAGGACGAGGACGAGGCTGATGACGGTCATGATGGTGATTTTTATGATGGAGATGGTGGTCGTGCTCGAATGTGGTTGGTGTGACGGTGGGGGGCCATGGGGATGTTGATGAGTGCAGTAGGTGCGCTATAAGGAAGAGAACTTTGGATTCTGGGGCAGGCCGAGGAATGTCGTTCCTATACCCTGCACGCACCTACATCTCAACGAGATGCCTGAGTTAATGCATACGTAGATTTGGCGGTACTATTACCATCGGCTCCCTTGATCCGCCACAACTTCGGCCCCGGCCAGGGAGGCTGGATCCAGAGCGCCCCAGGGGGGCCCAAGACGGCCCCAGATGGCCCCAAGACTGCCCTGGAGGGCCCCAGGAGGGCCCGAAGGGCTCCCCAACACAGCCACGATGGGCCCAAGATGGCCCAAGGTGGCCACTCCACGGCCCAACGGGCTGCCCAGATGGCCCAAGCGGGCCCGCAGACGATTCCCAAGAGGGCCCTTGGAGGCAACAAATAGATGTTTCCTTAGGTTGCGGTGCCATGTTCGTATACTCGGCTTTTCAGTCTCCGGAGCGCTCGAGATGGCCGAAGAGGCCCCCGAGATCGCACCAAGATGGCTTCATAGGCACCCAAGAGGGCCCCAAAACGAGCCCGTGACGGACCAAGAGGGGCCCATGACGGCCCCAAGACGCTCCAAGAGTGTTCCCAAAGAGGCTCCAGGCGGCCCCAGCGGGCCCCAAAACGGCCCCAAGACGCCAAGAGGGCCCCCGGAGGGGCTTCAGACGGCCCAGCGGGGCCCCAAGACAGCCCAACAGGACCCGCAGACCGCCCCAGAACAACCCCAAGAGGCCCCCCCCACATTGCCCAGAGGGACCAAGACGGCCACAGAGGGCCCCAATACGGCCCAGGAGGCCCCCAAGACTGTTTGAAAATGGCCTCAGGAGACCCCGAAGAGGACCCTCTCGGGACCCTGCATCAATACGCCGACGGTCACCCTGCTCAAATCTATCGATACGTAGCACCCCGCAGTTGCGGATAAGAGTGAAGGGGCGGCAGGTACGTCGGCAGTGTGCGAGGCTCTGAAGAAGCCTGCCGCAGGCGCATAAATTTTACAAGCTATATAACGAGCCCGCCGCAGGCGCCGATTCTTTGGTTAAAGCAATGTGGGTGGGTCGCAGGCCGGGTCGCAGGCCGGGTCGCGGATGGGTCGTGAGTGGGTCGCGGGTGTGTCGCGGGTTCGTCGGGGTTTGATGAGTGAAGGTGATTTCTGATTTATGGTTTGAGCTCGTATGTTTCTTTACCCATCGCTTTTCGGCAGCCTCCGAGACTCCGAGATCCTCCCAGCTCTCTCACTCTCTCTGTCTCTCCCTCTCCCTCTTGCTCGTTCCCTTTCACTCTCTCTCTATCTCTATCTTCTTCTTTTTCTTTTTTTGATTTTTTCCCCAATCATCCTGTGGTGTTGGGTCCTCGTTTTGAAGAGACGGTCCCCGCGTTCCTCCTTCTTTCCTTCCTTCCTTCCTCCTCCCTCCTGCTTCCCATCATCCCCCTCCTCCTTCTTCCTTGCGTTTCGCCCACCCAGTACAGCGCTTCGTGGCCCCATAGGGAGCTCTACCGAAGGCCCCAGTGCCACCGCCCGCATGCGTTACCCACACCCATTTCGGCACACCCCTCACACGCTTCGTGGCCCCACAGGGAGCTCCACCGAAGGCCCCAGTGCCAGCGCCCGCATGCGTTACCCACACCCATTTCGGCACACCCCTCACACGATCCCCCACACCCATTTCTGCACACACCCCACACGTTTCGTGGCCCCAGCTCCACCGAAGGGTGCCACCGCCCCATCACACGTTTCGGCACACCCCTTCGTGGCCCCATAGGGAGCTCCACCGAAGGCCCCAGTGCCAGCGCCCGCATGCGTTACCCACACCCATTTCGGCACACCCCTCACACGATCCCCACACCCATTTCTGCACACACCCCACACGTTTCGTGGCCCCATAGGGAGCTCCACCGAAGGCCCCAGTGCCACCGCCCGCATGCGTCACCCACGCACGTTTCGGCACACCCCTCACGCGTTTCGTGGCCCCATAGGGAGCTCCACCGAAGGCGCCAGTGGCTGCGTTCGCATGCGCCCACCGCACCCATTTCGGCATGGCCCAAGTGGCTGCGTTCGCATGCGCCCACCGCACCTATTTCGGTACACCTCTCACGCGCTTCGTGGCCCCGTGAGTAATTCCACCGACGGCCCAAGTGGCTGCTTTCGCATGCGCCCTCCGGACAATTGTTGGCACACCCCTCACACGTTTCGTGGCCCTATAAGAAGCTCTTCCGAATGCGGTGCATACAACGATGGTGTTCACAACTGCATATGGTTGGGCCTTTCGCCAGGTTAATTTTCATCTCTCTCTCATTTGTCACTAACGCTCATCTGGGTAAGCTCGAACCAAGCCCCATGCTTACCATAGCTGCCCCCCACGACCACCAGAGGATCCCAGGGAACCTCGACGACCTCTGGGAGGAAGCTCAACGTGTCTGGGACACCCACGATGACGACGAGGAGGACCACTTTGGACGACCTAGACTCCCCGCCCATACAACCGTCGCCGACACAGCTCCGACGACGAGTGCCCCTCGCCACTGGCCCAGGGGCACTGGCCTCAGTCGTGCCTACTGAAGACCCCGAGGCCACGCTTCCCGACGACGGGGTTGATGGTGTGCCAGTTCAAGGGACCGACCCAGGGGCACCGACCATAGTCGCGCCCACGGGGGAGCTTGCCCCGCCACCTTACCACTGCAACGCTCTACCGACACCGACTGGGCTGAAGTTCCTCCCGCCACCCCCCAGGATGAGATCGAGCGCTAGCCGTACCATCCCTGAGCACGGAGTCCTCGGTAAACAAACTGGAGAAATCCTCGCCGAGGGAGCTGCGACGCAGCTCCCCCAGAGGAAGGGCCGACCACTGCCCTTTCCCCAAGTCAAACCGAGTCGACCCAGAGGCAAGACAGGTTACGGGCAAATTTAGTGACGACCACGCTAAGGCCCAAGCTTGAACCAGCGACGACCTGGCTTTCGAGCCAGTGGCCACGCAAACTACTGGCATGCACGACCACAACAAACGCCTACACTGCGTGGCCGCTCACGTGAGCCCCCCACAGGGCAAGGGCCCACCTTCAGACCGAGAGGGCGACAAGGGCACGCATCCGCCCCCGACTACAGTCCGCGCCCAGAGGCCGTGATCTGGGCCGGGCTCGGGAACTGGCTCCCCGCCCAACTTCGAGCACCCCACTGACCCTGTCACAGGCTCCTCCACCATTAATGCGGGCCCCTGCCGTGCCCCCGACCCAGCAGCTCCGACTCCCAAGCCATCGTGACGGAGCGGACATTGCGTCCCCTGTCGGTCCACGGGACCCTACGGCGCCGCCTTACGGCGGCCCCAAGGCTGAACCAGTGCCCACACGAGGCACCGATCGCCGCATCGACATTGCCACACACTGTGCCAGCAGAGCTGCTATTGGTCACCTGCGCCACGCTTCGAGCTCAGCCCAAGGCCGAGCTGCCGAGCTGCAGGAGTCCTACGACTCCCTGTGTCACGAGTTCTCTACCCTCTATCACCAGGTCCGCGCCCTTAAGTCCCAGCCAGGACTGCTCGTACAACGCCTCCACCGCGCGCACGCGACGCCTCCGCAACCTGTTCCTCAAATCTCACGCCTGACGGGGCAACACCCGTCCACACGCTGCGCGACCCTCTAAGGGCCGCGCAAGCCCGCACAGGGCCCCTACCTAGGCCTTGGGCCCACCCTCCGCCAGCCCGATTGCCCGGGCGGCCACGCGTCGTCGGTTGTGGTGTGGCTGCGGGGACGGGAGGCGCCCCGTTTTCCGCAAGCCGCACAGCGGCCTAGCTTGTGTCCCTTGGCCGCCAACCAGGGCTTTGCCGACCTGAGAGACGTGGTGCACCGCCTGCTCAGCACCCTGCCTTTTACCTAAGTTGCTTTGCGCCGGGGGGTGGTTGTTTCAACGTCCCCCGTACCCCAAGGTGGGCACCACCGCTAAGCGTTTAATGGCGGCCTTGGCTACCGCAGCAGCTGGCTGTCGACGGGGCTCCCGTTAATGCCCAACACCTGTTAAGACATGATGGCCCCCCTTCCTTCCCCTCTGATTCCGACTGCCCTTCATTCGCCGCCGAATAACTACCTATACGACCACCTTTCGGGTGATAAGGAGGTTCGGGGAGGGAGGAACCAACGTCTCATTCGATCGGTCTCACTATCGATCTCACTATTGGTCTCGCCGATTTCATTCGATCGATCGCACAATCGATCTCACTCGATTTCTGTCATTCGATTGATCTCACAATCGATCCGACGATCGATCTCACAATCGATCTCACTATTCGATCTCACTGTAGATCTCACAATCGATCCCACATTCTGTCGCACGATCGATTTCACTATCGATATCACAATCGATCTCACAATCGACGTCATCATCCTGATCATCAACTTCATCGTCATCAACGTCATCACTTCCATCATCGTCATCGGGGCACCATCGCCATAATCACCACCTCATCACCACCATCATCGACATCATCATCACCAGCATCATCATCATCATCGGGACACCATCATCGTCACCACCATCGTCAACAACATCATCATCATTGTGACACCATCACCATCAGCATCGGAGCACCACCATCAGCATCATCATCATATCATCATCATGAACATCATCAACATCATCACCATCAGGACACCGTCATCATCCTCAACAACATCACCAACAACATCTTAATCATCATCGGGACACCATCATCATCGTCACCCCCATCTTCTAGGCACCATCATCATCATCACCCGTGCCATCATTATCATCGGACCACCATCATCAAATTCATCATCATCATCGGGACACCATCATCACCACCAGCATCACCATCAACTTCATCATCATCATCGGGACACCATCATCATCACCACCATGGCCATCATCATCAGCACCATCATCACCAGTATTGTTATCAACATCATCATCATCATCACCGTCATCATAATCATCATCATCATCATCATCATCGGGACACCCTCCTCGCCACCACCATCACCATCATCACCAACGTCATCGGCATCATCATCATCACTATCATCACCATCATCATCATCATCATCATCATCATCGGGACACCGACGGGACAACGGCGGGACACCGCGTGGCACCTGCCCCCGGAAGGGAGTCATTTGGTCCGGCCGCACCTTAGCCACAGCAGGACACCGGCGGGACACCGCGCGGCACCAGTTGCCGGAGGGGGGCCGTTTGGTCCAGCCGCGCCTCAGCCGGAGGAGAATTTCTTCTCGCCCGCCCACGCAGCTTCGCTTCGCCCGCATGCACGGCACGCACCAACACGAAACCGAAACCGATTTCCCGGTAGGGGGCTCTCCGTTCCAGTTCGATCTCACCCCCTCACCTCCGATTTTTCAGTGTCCCCCCTGGAACGTATTCCACGGGGGGCGAACAATGCGATAGATAATTGCACACGTGTGTGTTTGTAACCATCTACGCGTATAGTCGCGCACGCACGCGCATGCATCTGTATATGCGCATGAACTGTATGCGTGCGGGTGTGCAGACTACTTAGGTCGGCGAGTAGGTCGTTCTCGTCTAAATGGGAGGCTCTGCGTACGTGCGCGCGCGATTGCGCGCGCGTGCGCGCGGTGGCGTCCAGTTCTCGCGCGCGGTGTGAGGCTGATTGGCCTTACCCAAAATCCTAAATTTTCATGTCGTTTTTCGCACGCAGTTTCGGGGCTGACACGTGTCACCCGTTGTTCTTCTTGTGAAGTTGAATGGCCTTATGTTGGCTCCCACAATCCCGGATTTAAACTTGTTTTTCTCATTTCGGGTGTGGCTCGTGTCGCCCATTGTGAGGTTGGATGGCCTTATGTTGGTTCCCACAATCCCAAATGTCAACGGTTTTTCCCACACGGTTTCAGAGATGACACGTGTTGCCCGTTGTGGTTGCGAGGCTGGATGGCTTTACGCTGGCTCCCCAGATGCCGCCGGCGCGGAGCATGACGTCATCTGGGGGGGGCGGGGCCGATGACGGCCGTTATGCCTGAAAATAATCAAGCAGGCTCCAGGAGGGCGTGATGAGCGTCTGGCGGTGATGCTTCAGCGATTCGGTGCCTTTTTTCCAGGGACTGTCCTGGAAGTTTCTTTTGGCGCATGTTGGACCGCTTGGGCAGTGTGGCGGCCTGGAGTGGGCCTCTGAAGTCGTCTCGGGCGAGCTTTGGCCGCCAGCAGTCCGAAAGGGCATAATCCAACAGAGACAACTAACAACCAACGGGAAACCAAAACACTTTGTGTCTTCAGGCCCCATCTGGGGAGCGTCGTGGAACGCTCTTGGGCCGTCTGGGGGGGGGCGTTCTGGGCCGTCGGGAAACCTGCGTGGAGCGCCTTGGGAGCGCGGTGGGCCATCTGGAGGCGATCGCGGGCGTTCGGGGGTGATGTCACAGCGATTCAAGGGCACCCACCTGTGGCCCCCCGGGGCGGGCGGGCCCCTGTCCTTGTCCTCCCTTCTCAGGACTCGAGGGTGCGCTTTCGGCCCCGAGGTGGGTGAAGACGACCGTGGACCGTCTCAAGCCAGCACCAGGAGTGCCCCAAGACCGCCAAGGGTTGCTCCAAACGGCTCTAGAGCTCTCGAAGATGGCCCTCGAAGGCTGCGGATGGATGGCGCGAGATGGTGAAACATAAGAAATGACGACGCCGACGACGATGACGATGCTGGGGCGGGCATGGTCATCACGATGGTGTTTACTCCGTATGCAGACAATGCTAGCGATGCACACGAAGGTGTCAATAGTCCCGACAAGGAGAATTATGTGGGGAGGATGGTGGCGATGAAATATTGGGATTGCTGATCATCTTGATGATGCTGTTAGTGATATTTAGGATGACAATGATGATGGTCTGTTGTGATGAGGAAGGCGATGAGGTAATGGAGGAGGAGGTGGGGATTTTACAGATAGTGGTGAGGCTGATGATAAAGGGGCAGGGGAAGGAAAGAGGTGGGATAATGAGAGAATGGGGGTGAAGAGAACGAAGGTGGTATAGCGAAATCGTGGATGGTGAAGCGATAGGAGATGGGGACGCGATGGCGGACGATGTGTACGAGAAGGGGGCTCGTGAGGTGGAGAGGGAGGGATGAGAAAGGGCGATCCGGAGGAGGATGCGAAGAAGTAGGAGTAGGGAGGAAGAGGATCAACAGGACGAGCTGTAGGGGAAAGCGATGTAAATAGGGGAGGGGGAGGGGGATGACGACGATGACGGGGATGACTAGGAGGACGGAGCGAGTGAGCGCGCCTGTCGTTCCGTACGCGAGGTGGGCATGCTCGCCAGGCGTCGAGACGGCCGACAAAGAGGATTGGCGCGCGACTCTGCGGGGCTCCTGCCTGTCATCAAAAGCGAAGGATGAGAAAAGGGCGAGGAAGAGGGAAAGGTGCGGGGAAGGAGGGAAGAGGATTTGGATGGGAGGAGGAGGAGGATGAGGGGGGGAGGAGGAGTAAGAAGGAGAGGAGGGAGATGAGCTGGAGCACGGGGAATACGATGGTGATGGTGTTTGTGATGATGATGCTGCTGATGATGATGGTGATGGTGCTGGTGATGGTGATGGTGATGGTGAGGGTGAGGGTGAGGGTGATGGTGATGATGGTGGTGATGATGATCATATTTGTAATTATTATGATAGGTAATAGTATTATTATTGTGGTGGTGGTGGTGGTGCTACTGGGGAGGGACCCTGTCATGTATGGTATGCCCGACCTCGCCTAAAAAGTCCATTCCCGAAATCCAGTACTTTGAGTCCGAGTGTATATCTCTCCCATGTTTTTTTTTGTGCGGCCGCAGATAGCTGTGTTGGTGCAAAGTAGGGGTGGCTTTTGTGCCGCCAGCTTCGCACGCCTGGTCAATCCCTGTGATGCCCAGACTAAGGCAAGCTGGTGCTAACTGAACATAGAAGGGAAGGCCTGCCCAGCAGACGGAACTGGCCTGGCCAGATGTTATTGTCCTTGCAGGACATCTGTTGCTTTGCCCATCCCTCTCCCAGGAGCAGGAAGCGCACCACGACCACCTGGGGGGACTCAGGATGAGCTGGTGTGCGGGGTGCGGATGTGCACGATGTCCCGCGAGATCGCGCGAAACGATATACACCACCACCACCACACCTGACCACCCTCTGCCTCCATCTTCTGGGTGGTGGTGGTGATGCGTTTCCTTCTCCCTACCTGCCTCCCTCCCTCCCCCTGCCCATCCACGGCCCGGCAAGAGGACCCAGAGAGCGAGCTCCCCGCGCACGTGGGGTGCCTTCCGCCGCCCCAGGGGCCGCCCCGCCCTCCCTGGGCCCGCGAACGGCCCGCACCAGAGGGTCGAGGTTCGAGGTTCGAGGATCCGCGCCTCCAGGTGGAGGCGGAACAGGTAACCGTGCCGCGACCCCTCCCTGGTCGCCACTGTTGGATTCGCTGGGGAATTCGAGACGCTTCGCGTAACCCCACCGGTCCGTAGCCATTTTGGCTCAAGCCGTCTCGGCTCGAGCCCGCCCTTGGACAGGTTCGCGCCGGGTCGGCCACGCGATGGCCTCGTCCCCCTCGGGCGCCGCCGCCGCTCGCGCCAGGCTGCCGCCTGCCGCGGCCGCGGCTGCTCCCGCCGCCGCTGCCGCCGCCGCCTCCACCCAGGAGGCCGGCGCGCGGGAGGCGGCGGCGGACGGCGGTGGCGGCGGCTGCCGGCGGCGAGCCTCGCCGCCGCCGCCGCTGCCTTCCCCATGGGGGCTGGCGCCTGGGCGGCTGGAAGCGCCCGGCGGCGCCACGGCCGCAACAGCCGCCGCCGCCGCGGGCCGCCGCCGCCTCCACTGCCCGCCACCGGCTTCCCCCCGGCGGCGGCGGCGGGCCGGTGGCGCCGCGGCCGGCGCCGCGGCTGCCTTCGCCAAGGCCGCTGCTGCTGCCGCTGCCGCCGCCGCTGCCGGCCTCCCGCCGGCGGCGGCGGCGGCGGCGGCCGGCGGCGCCACGACAAACCCCGCAGCCAGCCCCACAGCCAGCCCCACGGCCAGCCCCACAGCCAGCCCCACGGCCAGCCCCGGCGGCGGCGCCGCGGCCGCCGCCGCGGCCGCCGCCGCCGCCGCCGTGGCGGAGGCCGCCGCGGCCGCGAGCTGCGCGCCCGGTGCCGCCGCCGCCGTGGCCCGCGGGGCCCGCCGCGGCGGGCGCCGCCGCGGCCGCGCCCGCCGCGGCCGCCGCGGCCGCTGGCGCGGCAGCGGCGGCGGCCACCACGGCCCCCCTCGGCGGCCCCCCGCGGCAGCGGCAGCAGGAGCGGCAGCAGCAGCTACAGCAGCAGCGGCAGCAGCAGCAGCAGCAGCGGCAGCAGCAGCAGCAACTGCAGCAGCCGCGGCAGCAGCAGCCGCAGACCCCCCACAGCGTGTACAACAGCAGCAGCTACAGTAGCAGCAGCAACAGCAGCAGCAACGGCACCCCGCAGCTGCAGCAGCAACAACACCCCCCTCAGCAGCCACAGCAACCGCCGCAGCACCCACAACCACAGCCGCACCACCCGCAACAGGTGCTGCAGCAGCAGCAACAGCAGCCCCAGCAGCAGCAGACCCACCCCGGGGACGAGAGACCCGCGAGACCTCAAATATCCCTCTCTGACGACCAGGAGGTACCCCTGCTCCCTGACAGCCTCCTGGGCACCTCTCCCGCGAGATGACTCAGAGGTACCCTTGGCGGAGTCGGCGGAGGCTGCGGAGGCCGCGGAGTATCGGGGGCCCGAAGCGGCGGAAGCCTCTGAAGGTGCGGAAGTGGGACAAGCCTTCATCCGTGTCTCTGGATTAGAACTGGGCGGGCAGGGGCTGGCCCCCGAAAGCGCCGACGGCAGCCGCGGCAGTCAGCTAAGCGAGATCCCGGAACAGCAGGGGCTCGCCTGCTGCACCGTGCCACCCCCACCTCCCCCTCCAATCAGACCGCCAGCAGTCCTCTGGGAGCGCCACAGACCCAGCAGGGGGGCCACGGACCAACCGTCCAGACGCAGGACAGCGAAGCCATCCACTGGCTCGTCGGGAGAAACCCCTTCGCGCCTATTCGCCCCCCTTCCCCTGCCAGCGAACCCATTCTAACGGGTGGCGAACCCCGAGCGCTCCCTCCAGACGTCCAGGGCACGACTGACAAAGAACCTTGTGCTCTGGCAACGGAAACGGCGTCGCCGCATGCGCGCGCGCCTGGCGCAACCAGCGGCGCCCCCGAGACCGGCGAGAGCCCTGCGTTGACCGAAGGGGGCGCACCCGGGAGCGACGGCGGGCACAGGCCCGAAGGCGAACGCCAGCGAAAGGGGCCTCTCCCCGCGCACCACAGGGCAGCGTCCGCCCTGGCTGCCGGATGCGATCCGACCCCCGCCTGGCGGCCATTTATGCCGCCCGCCTCTCCCCGCAGAGCCCGGCCAGGCTCGCGGCCGGAACTGTCGCGAGCAGATCGCGAGCCCTCCGGGCAGGACAACGAGGCCGGCGCGCCGGAGACTTGCGGTCAGAATGCACGGCAGCACCAATGGCCTGACCCGCGCCAATGGCCAGGGCCCACGGACCCCGACACGGGGCAGCAGCTGCACAAAACAGAAATCGACAACATCCACTGGGACCTTCCCGGGGAGACACCCGGCGAGGCGATAAGGCGGCTCCGAGTCACCCTGGGAGCAACGTTCACAGGCACCTGGGACGCTCTCGCCAAGCGGCAGACCGTGCCTGGCAGCAAAGGCGCGCTCAACCCACTTCGGCACGACCCGCAAACCTGCCACCTCTTCCTGGAATCTTTTCGCAGCTACAGCTGCGACGTACGGGTCGTCAGCGACGCGCTGGGCCTCGACGTCGACTGGACTCGGCTGTGGCATCTGCACCCGGGTCGAAGCGGCGGAGCGAGCAGGGATGACCACGCGGCAAAGGGCCACCCGAACGCCCAGGCACCCAGGAAGGGCAAAAAACAATGGCGGGCCGTCTCCCCACAGTAGCCGTTGCTGCCCCATCTCGCGGCATCGCGCGCGCGGGGATCAGGCGCGAGGAGGGCGGTCACTGGCTGCGTGCTGCTGCTGCCCAGCAAAACGCGGCCTGCGGCATTGGGGCCCAACGCGGTTTCTCACAGCAGAGGGAGCTGAGCGTGCGTGAAGGACTGACAACGGCAGCAAGCACTGGTCCCGCTCGACGGGTGCGCCACCTTTCCCACGGGTGGGGTGCCTACCGATGCCGAGGGGGGGGGGGGGGGGGGGGCCCCCCCCCCCCGCCTCCCTTCGGGGGCCAGGCGATCGTCGCAGCGCGTGTGGCGGAGGCGGAAGTGGCACCTTCACTGCTCCTCCCTCTCCTGACCCATGCGGCGATTAGTTGCGACCCCCGATGTCCTACCCCCCCCCGCTGTCTGGTCGCGCTGCAGTTTCACATCAGCCGCGGCTTGCTGCGACCCTGGGGGACCATCACAGGAGCGCGTTGGGATCTGGGGACAAACCTGCCATCAATTGCGATGCGCGGCGGTTAGCTGCGACCCCCGAGTCAATGAAGGGGACCGCAACCGGACCCAGCGACCCTGGACGCACGCGGGGGCCTGCCTGTACCACGGGCCCGGGGCCTCTCACGGGGGCTCAAGGCACCCTCGCGTCCCTGCTCTGGCAGCCAAGGGCCGCCCTTCGCCGCCCCCCCGCGCGCGCTTCGTCTTCGCGGCGCCCGCCGTCATCAGTTGCAGCGCTGAGAGCAGGTGCGTGAAGGGCGTGCACTGGCTGCAGCTCCTCCCCGCCCAGCATGGCGGCAGGTGGCCAACGTGATCTGTGACTGCAGTGGGATCTGAGCGTGTGTCCCGCGGGTGCTCCTGGGGCTCTTGCATCCCGGCGCTGTCCTCCCTGGGGCGTCTGAGTTCGGGCTCGGGTCCGCCCTCTTGGGCTCGGGTATCATTGCATCCGGGTGCTGTCGGTTCAGCGGAAGCGGGGGCACTATCCAATCGATCCACATGCCTTGGCGCGTTCCGGGATGTGGGGTGCTAAGTTGGAGCCCGCGTCGTCAGTGGCAGCGCTGGGATCAGGGGACACACCCACCATCAATTGCGATGCGCGGCGGTTAGCTGCGACCCCCGAGCCAAGGAAAGGGACCGCAACCGGACCCAGCGACCCTGGACGCACGCAGGGGCCTGCCTGGACCACGGGCTCAGGGCCTCCCACTGGGGCTCAAGGCACTCTCGCATCCCAGTTCTGGCAGCCAAGGGCCAGCCTTCGCCACCCCCCCGTGCACGCTTCGTCTTCGCGGCGCCCGCTGTCATCAGTTGCAGCGCTGAGTGCAGGCGCGCGGAGGGTGGACACTGGCAGCAGCTCCTCCCCGCCCTGCGTGGCGGCAGGTGGCCATCGTGATCTGCGACTGCAGTGGGATCTGAGTGTGTGTGTCCCGCGGGTACTCCTGGGGCTCTTGCATACACACATATCATCAAATCTTGTTGTGCGGTGGTCAGCTGCGACCCCCGAGTCAACGAAAGGGACCGCCGCCGGGCTCAGCGACCCTGGACGCACGCAGGGGCCTGCCTGGACCACGGGCTCAGGGCCTCTCACGGGGGCTCAAGGCACTCTCGCACCCCTGCTCTGGCAGCCAAGGGCCGCCCTTCGCCGCCCCCCCCGCGCACGCTTCGTCTTCGCGGTGCCCACTGCCATCAGTTGCAGCGCTGAAAGCAGGCGCGCGAATGGTGCACACTGGCTGCAGCTCCTCCCCGCCCAGCGTGGCGGCAGGTGGCCAGCGTGATCTGTGGCTGCAGTGGGATCTGAGTTTGTGTCCCGCGGGTGCTCCTGGGGCTCTTGCATCCTGGCGCTGTCCTCCCTGGGGTGTCTGCTGCTGGACTCGGGCCCGCCCTCTGGGGCTCAGGTGCTCTTGCATCCCGGTGCTGTCGGTTCAGCGGAGTCGGAGGCGCCGCCCTTTCAATCGCGATCCACAGGCTCCGGCGCATTGCCGGGATGTGGGATGATAAGTTGGTGCCCGCGTCGTCAGTGGCAGCGCTGGGTTCAGGGGGCACACCTACCATCAAATTGTGATGCGCGGCGGTCACCTGCGACCCCCGTGTCAACGAAAGGAACCGCAACCAGACTCCCACCCTCAAGAGAGATCATAGCGGCGAGATCCGGTGACAGGGGTACGTCGGCAGAAGTACCCCCCCCTGCGCGCCAGCCTGCCTGCCTGTCGTTTCAGGCATCTGTTTTGGCAGCTTCAGCTCCAGGGGCGAGTAGCTGCGACTCCCCAGGACCCACCCCCGGAGGCGCATCTCGCTGCTGGCCCACATTCCGCGTCGACCGCGGCCCTGGTGGGCCG